AAAAAAATTAAAATTAAAAAAAAAAAAAAAAAAAAAGGTTGTTCAACTATTTTATTATCTTAGATTATATCAAAGTATTTGTTGTGTGTAGTTTAAAAAAACCACCTCTGCAGACAATAAAAATGACAGACTAAAATGCAGTGTTGTTTATTTGATAATGACTTACAATTTGGGATGGCAGGGAAATGGCTTTTTATATATTGTAAAGGCAAAGTAAATAAGCAGTTTACTTTTAGGTCAAATAAAAACTTCCGTTTATTGCTGGGGTTTATACGAGGCAGGCACATTTCTATATTACTAGCAATTATATAACAGGTCGTCATGTAGCTCAGAGGGATGTAGAATAATTAAATTGTTATTGTAAAACACACGTTTCGCTTCAGCATTGTATAGAGTGAATGGAAGGCAAGATCATTGCCTTTGGGAAACCTGTAACCTAGAAAGGACACAAATACATAAAACAGATTCCCTTTGGGAGAGAACGTAATTACCTAGTTTGAAATGTGGCAAAGATGCTGAGCTTGACACTTCGATTTTCCAAGACGTGTGTCTCAAGGTATTTTATGACAAGTGGTTAAGAGGACCTTACTTTGAGGATTTAAAGCAGGCGGCTTCCTTGGCGCGTTTGCCGGTCACCCTTTCCAGGACGCGGTGAGCTGGCCCTCAGCGCCACCTGCTGGCCGTAACCTCTCTAGACTCTGCCAATGAAAGACTAACCTAGATGGATATACTTGTCAATTGTTGAATAAAAATTGGCAAGGCCCAAGAAGACTTAATATGTTTCATTATTAAGACATCAGAAACATGCATCTATTTAAGGTTGGTTTGTTTCCTCCTTCTAGAGGAGAAATAGTTAAGTGATAACTTTCTTGGTTTGTGAAAGTGGTTGGGAAATCTGGCTGCTTAAAGTGGCCTATCTAAAACAAATCGAATTATATTGCATTTCAACTCAGGTGGCGGTAGGGTGCTGCCAGTGAGGGGATGGTCTAAATCAACAAAGGGGATATGGTTCTCGAATCCGTATCCCTGAACAGTATCATCATCACTTATTAAAAATGAAGACTTGTGGGCTCCACTCCAGTCAGATTGAATCAGAAACTTTGGGGATGGGGTCCAGCAATCTGTTTTAATGAGTCCTAAAGATGGTTCTAACTCGTGCTCAAGTTTGAGAATGGCTGTTCTCACCCAT